CTCCGTTTCTGGAAATAGTCTATGGTCCTGGTGTTCATGAGAGGGTCCTAAATGTAACTTAATTGTCCCAGGATGTGCCAGGCTGAATTCACGTGAGTTGACTGACTAGAGGAGTCACCACTTTCTTCATTACACTGAGTGTGGCTTCAGTCACCGAGACACGTGTTCCTCAGTTGAACTTTCATACATGCTCCCTAGGCTACAGGTAGACAGTGGCCTGCCATGGAGCATAAATATGGTTTTCCAAGTCTCCTTCCATCTCCATTCCTATAGGAGGACATATTTCGCATGCACATTTCCCCCCTTGGGAATAGAGTATGTGAGAGAGTGAGACACTTGTTTAGCTTTTTGTGCATTAGGAAGCTAGAGAAGGTTAATAGTATGTCTATGTTAATCATTCTCTAAAGGGACAGAAAGGTAATTTATTATGCTCCATAACTGAGATTGGAAGATGAAAAAAAAAGACTTAAACACTTCAATCAAGATGACCTTCTCTTACCCCTGAAAAGTAAGTCCTCATTTGTCTTCCTTCTACTCAGATAACTGTGACTAAGTACTATTATGTGAATAAAAGTATAGTAGATTTTAAATAGGAGGGGATATTATAGTTAATATAGCTATATATCATCTGTGGTTTCTTGAAGCTCTTACAACAACTATTTGTTCATTCAAAACAATGTTTAAAAACACCCTCAGGCTGCTTGTCCTATTTCATGTCACATGGCACCAACAGACACAGGTGATTCATGAGCTTTATAAATAAAAAGCTTCTCTAAAGTGATAGTTTCCGTATTTTCTCGGGACTGTCATAAATTTATGGACATAGACAAATTGGGATAATTTTATAATCTACACTTAAAGCAGAAAAATGGGTTATAAATATCCAGATCCAGAAATCTAATAAGCAAATAATGTAAGCAATAAGAAAATTGCTAAAGATTCTCTAATTGATTCAACTAAAAAAAGTTTAATTGATTCAACTTAGTCGTAGACATTGTAGGGAAGTAAAGGTAAAGATGAATAGAACATGGCTTCTCAGGGAAGTTACAGTTTACCATAGAATGTAAGAACATAGCTTAACTGGTGATGCAAGTCAAAATCCAGTTAGTGCCATGAGAGGCTTAGGTTGCCTGTGCCTGTGTGTCAGGTATACATCACAAGGGCTACGTCTTTAGAAAAGAGTTCATGTGTTATTTAGAGAATCAGGAAAGGCTTCGTAAGCAGTTGATACTTTCACTGCACCTGACTAAATGGATAGAACTTCAACATAAAAAGATGGGGAGAAAGAATACAGAATGTGTAAAAGGAAGGCTGTGAATGAGCTCAGTCTTCGTGTAGACAGCAGAGCAGTTAAAAGAGCAAAAGCTGGCGTCAGACATAAATGCATTCATATCCTGGCTCTATTGCTGTCTAACAATGCAATGGAACAAAGTTGACTTAATTTCATTAAGCCTTAATTTTCCCATGTAAAAAGAGAATAATAAAACTAACGTAAAATTAATAAGGATATCCAGGAATTGAACTCAGATCTGGAACAAGTAAACTTAATAAACATTTATAGAACTCTCCACTTTAAATACACAAAATATACATTCTTGTCAGTACCACATCACACCTACTCACAGGTTTAAATGAAATATTGATCGACCATTATTAAGCACAAATATTGGCATAAAAAAGGTTTTCAATACCCATTGTTAGAATAAAGCAACATTCCCATTCTACCTCTTTTTCTTCCTCTTTCTTCCTCTCCTTCACTCCTTTTCTTTCCTTCTCTTTCTTTAAAAAAAATATAATAATAAAATAAAAAAATAACCTTAATTGGTATATTTTTAAGATTAAATGAAATGATGTATGCAAGTATTTATCACAGAGTCTGGCCAACGAAAGTGGTTTTTATTATTTCCTCTCCTGTAGTCCCTTTCACTTTTCTCTGCTTAACAAATCCCATTCTATCACCTCTAATAAGACTTTCAGCCCATATCTATTCATTCATTTATTCCACAAATATTGAGTAATTTCTGTATTATTTGTTTTCTTGTCCCTAACCTCTACTGCACTTATTTTCAACATAATCATTACCTAAAGAACAGAGGGATGTTGTGTTGTCTGCCTTTCATAGTTCAGAACATCACTGTAGTCATGGGTTACAGCTTACTAGTGACCTACCGAAGAGGCAGATGTTAGTGATGGTCATGTACAAGCCAAAGAATTGGGGAAGGAAGCACTCCCTGAAATGAGTGGCCACCCTCTATCCCTTTTAGCACTACCAGGCTAGAAGATTTCTGACTTAACCAGCTCCGAGCTAATGTAGACAACAGACCCTGCCTGTGGGATTTACTTTCTCATTTTTATTTGTAACTTGAAAATACTGGCATAATCCAGCTTCGATTCCAGGAAAATCACACTGTGGAACAGTGTGAGGGTGTCATCAGGTGCTCACAGCCCAGTAACACTATTTGGAACAGAAGAAATAATGTAAATAAAAGAAACCAAGTGCATTAACAACTCACTTTCCTCCATATGTTAACATAATCACAGCTTTCCTTCTTTTCCACATGGCCTCAGACTCTCTAAAATGCAACATCTCTCATTTGTTTTTGTTTTTGTTTTCTACTATATGTTGCTGAGAAAGAAGAAACTGGAGCTATTTTTACTACACAGAAGACAGACACACAGTTGAAGGAGCAGGGAGTCAGTGAAAGTGTCTGATAAATAAAGCCAATGTCGAGTGCTCTCTGGGAGAATGCGCTATCCTGCGTGCAAAGTGAGCAATGCCTGAGCCTATTTCACTAGGTCAACTTCCTTGGAACCAAGCCTTGAAAGCCATACATTGCTGATCATCATAAATACAGTTTTATTTTTGCTGTTTGTTTTGCTTCTTTAGAAAAAATCCCCTTTCTTCTCTACCAAAAGCAGAAACAAAGACATACTTATATCTCATAGTTTCTCTGAGGCCAGGAGAAAGACAGTCATGTATCCCCACTTTTACAGGATCAAGGATGAGAAGACAGTCATTACTTGCTCTTGGGCTAGAAATTACTTACTGGGAAGACCAATGACGCTTTTACTACCTAGTCTTTGCATTTTCCTAGCAGCCTTTAGAGAGGTCCTCCAGAAGCTAATAAGTGTCCACATGCTTGTACAAACAATTGATACATATAAAATGGAGACTGACATATCGAGCAGGACTATCTTCTCCCTGTTGTTTCTCCTTCCCTACGTTACCTGATTAAGACACTTGGGTGATATATTTAAGAAAACAATCATTCCAAACATTTTTCTTTGGCCTTTTATGTCTCCTAAATTCAGCCATTACAGATTCATAGATATTATAAAATATTTTCTTTAAAAGTCTAGATATTGTTGAAGACAGAACAGCCAGAGTGTGAATTTAAATCATCAGCTTGCTTTCCTCCTCTTTCAAAAGCACCATGTGGACAGAGTTTTGAATGGCTCGAGGAAAGAATATTATGGTTTGTGGGTTATTCTGAGATTTTGGACTTGGATATGCCACTAGAGTCTAGGACTTCAGCCAAGAACAAGGAGTGAGAGAGTGCACTCCCCTTGATAAACAAGGGTCAGACGTAGAGAGAGAATATAAAGAAATACAGGGCGGGGGGGGGGGCCAAAATTCAACTTCTATCCAATGCAAGACGTCCAATGCAATACAAACACTTTTCAGAGAGTGGCAGCATTCTAATTATCATGTTTCATTAGGATAATACTATTTATCATTAACAAAGAAAGTGTCTAAAAACACTTCTTAGTCAAGTTGATTCTTGGCTGGAGCAGCTTTTTCCAGATTATGCATTTTTTTTGGTTGTTGTTGCATTTTGCTTTATTAGTATTACAATCTGCTTGGTTTGAAAGCATTCTTCCTTTTACGTAGATGATATTTTCAAATATCTTTCTGTTGAACTCCTTCCTCGAAATTTTACTCACCAGCCTTGTATGATATGAGAAATGCTATCATCCTCCCAAGGCAGACACGGCTCTGAGCTAAAATGAGTTCTTCTCAGCCCTAGGTCTTTGGGCTCAATTGCACATTTTGTGTTATCTGTCTTGTTCTTTTCTTTGCCCCCGTTGACTTGAAGTTCATGTCTCCTTTTGTTCCTGGCATGTTGCCACTTAGCATGTCTTCAGTAAATAAAGATTTGGTGTATTACAGGTTTTTTTCATACTGCTGCACTCTGTGAGAACTTTCTGCTGCTTCTTTCTCCAATCAGAATGTCTTAAAGGGTATAGGTTAATCCCTCCTTCTTGTTAGATACTTTTATTCAAGAGCATCCTGATTCTGGAAGATTCAGTTTTCAGTGGTTATTTTTAGTACTCAATTGATTCAAGCATCTTCCAAATTCTGAGAAAAAAAAATCACTTCAACCAAGAGATCCTATCAATCACAGCGTGGTTTGCATGCTTATTTAGGTGGTTAGTAATTAAAGGCAGCTAAAAATACCAGACATGCATGAATGGTGTGATTTTTATATCTTAGCTTCTTCCCAGAGAAGATGCAAGACCCATCAATCAAACAGTTGGTAGCTGAAGTCATTATCACTGAAATTAAGGCAATTATACACAAATGAATATTAATGAAGTATCTAGTCAAAATTAGGGTCAGTTTTTAACACTTAAAAAGAAATTGTAGAGAATCTGGGTTCAGTGTTAGTCCATTGTAAAATAACATAAGAATTCATTTTTCATATTAAACTGCCACTATAATTATGGAGACTCCATCACATTTACATTATTCCTTATTTTAAAGAGAAACAGTTTTATATATGCCTTATAGCTTTTATTTTGAGATTTCAAAATGGTCCAGAAACCTACATTATATGTAGTGGCACAACACCCCACTGAAAAATAAGTACTTTGGTCTTAGGTATCGTGATTTTATAACTTAAAAAAATAATATTCATTGCAATTTACAACAATGCCTTTATTTATAAAATAAGGAGCATATACCAGAGGATCTCCAAGAATTTTAAAGTCCTTATATTCTATTGTTACAGGATTTAAATGTGGAATAAGGTTATGGCACCTTGGAAAGACAAATACTAGTAAGGCAGTTTATCACTGGATCCTTTGCATCTTATGAAAATGTGAGAATGTAAAGGGTCTGAATTTTCTAGACAAGCTTTCAAATAATTAAAAAGTAGTAGAAGCCTTTCCAACAGCCTCCAAACCTGAGTATCATAGCCCACAACTATAGGGACACTCCACATCAGGGTCTATGTGAATTGCTCTTCTGGTGCTGTGCAGTACACTGCTGTGCAGACATAGATGCTGGACCTCCATAGAGAAGGGGCATTTGAATAACTGCTCCACTTCATGCCACCCGTTAGTAAGCACATAGGGAAAAAAGAGAGAGAGAGAGGAAGAAAGATAAAGAAAGCAAAAAAGAAAGTGAGAGTCCAGAGGGGCGGAAGGAGACGGGAAAGGAGTAAGGAAGGAAGAAAGAAGGAAGGACGGAAGGGAGGGAGGGAGGCAGGCAGGCAGAGGGCGAGCACTGTTCTGTGACTGAGCATTGGAAGTAGAAAAGATTTGAATCCAGTTAATCTTTGGGCCAGCCATGCCTCCAGCCGCAAGTCCATAAACAAGGCCATTAAATGGTCTCTGCAAGAAGCCAAAGTCCAGATTCCACCTGTTACAAACACACAGGCCTTTGATGGCTGGCAAACAGGAATGAGATTAAGAGAAGGCAGACTGACTACACAAGGATTTCAAAAGCATAGGTCTGGAGGACAATAGGGGAAAGTAAAAATGATGAGGAGGGGTGGAGAAAAGACAGGAACAAAAGGGAGGGCATCCTAGTTATCCACAGTTGTATGGGAAGATGCAGTCATTCTGTCTTAATCTGACTGGCTCATTTTTTCAAATCATTGCTATTCTCCCATAAATCCCAGCTGCATGAGAGAGAGAAGATCATCATAGAACTGTAAGCCCTGAAATAGAAAAGTGGCTGGCCTAGGGAGTTTGAAAAATTGTCAAACTTAGAAGAGAGAATATGGAATAGATGCTCTCATGTTCCTCAGAGCCCTGTGCGATATTACAGAATAATTCACTGTCTTTGTGAAGCTACTGCCCCAAATAGAGTAAAATACTATATATCAGCTTGATAAAATCACAGATATGGGTATATTTGGAGGTAAATGTTATAATATGCTAATAACTGAAATTATCCTTTAATAGACACTATTCACTTCAATGCAGATTAACAAGTCCTGCCAATTATTACATATTTCCTATTTCAATTCATTCATTTTCTTGATCCTCGGTGCTGTTTAGAATACTCTGAGGTAAAACATTTGTATAATGTGTATATATACATATGTGTGTATAGTCATATACATATATACAGTGTCTGACTGTACATACACACACACCCCTTATATCACATTTCGCTATATTCGACTTTGTAGTTATTTCATTTCTTACACATTTTTGCAAATTGAAGATTTGTGGCAACCCTGCATAGAGAAAGTCTATTGGTGCCATTTTTCCAAGCCCATATCTGTGTCACATTTTGGTAAGTCTAGCACTATTGTATTCTGTCAGTTATGGTGACCTGTGATGAGTGATCTTTGATGGTACTATTGTAACATTTTGGGGTACCACAAATGACTCCCATATGAGACAGGGAACTTAACTAATTAATGTTAAGTGTGTTCTGACTAATCTGACCACCGGCTATTGTCTTGTCTTTCTCCCCTTCTTCAGATCTTTCTATTCCTTAAGACACAACAATATTGAAATTAGGCAATTTCATAACCTTGCGATGACCTCTAAGTGTTCAGGTGAAAGACAGAGTCACCCATCTCTCATTTTAAATTGAAAGCTGAATGATTAAGCTTAGTGAGAAAGGATATTGAAAATCCAGATAGGATAAAAGCTAGGTCTCTTGTATCAAACAGCCAAATTATGAATGCAACAGAAAAGTTCTTAAAGGAAATTAAAAGTGCTACTCCAGTGAACACAAAAATGATCAGAAAGCAAAATAGCCTTATTGCTGATGTGGAGAAAGTTTGAATGGTCTGGGTAAATCAAACCAGCCAGAAGCCCAAACCAAATTCAGAGAAAGGCCCTCACTCCCTTTAATTCTAAAAGGCTGAGAGAGGTAGGAAGCTATAGAAGAAAAGTTCAAAGCCAGCAGAGGTTGGTTTATGAAGTTTAAGGAAAGAAGCCATCCCCAAAACATAAAAGTGTCAGGTGAATCAGCAAGTACTGATGGAGAAGCTATAAGTTATCGAGAGGATCTAGCTAAGATCATTTATCAAATTAGCTGCATTAAATCACCAATTTTTAATAGATGAAACAACCTTCTATTAGAAGAAGGTCTTTCATAGCTAGAGAGGAAAAGTCAGAGCTTGGCTTCAACCCTTCAAAGGTCAGGATGATTCTCTTGCTAGGGGCTAATGTACCTGGTGACTTTAAGTTGAAGCCAATGGTCATTCACCGTTCTGAACATTTTAGTGCCCTCAAAAATGATGGTAAACTTACTCTGCCTGTGCTCCATGTATGAAGCAACAAGGCACAGGTGACAGCACAGCTGTATACAGCACGGTGTACTGATGACTATTTTAAGCACAATGTGGAGAGGTATTATTCAGAAAAAAAAAATCAATTCAAAAGCTCTGTTGGAAATTAGCAAAGAGACTAATGATATTTCCACGTCTGCCAACACAACATTGATTGTGCAGCCATGGATCAAGAAGTAATTTTGAATTTGAAGTCTTATTACTTTAAAAAAACCACACTTTATAAGGCTTAACTGCCATTGATAGTGATTTCTCTGATAGATCTGGGCAAAGCAAACTGAAAGTCTTCTGGAAAGGCTTTCAGATTCCATTAAGAACATTCCTAATTCGTGGGAGGAAGTCAAGAGATCAAAATTAATGGAGGTTAGATGTTGATTCCAACTCTCATGGATAAATCTGAGGGTTCAAGATTCCAGTGGAGGGAGGAAGAAACCACAGATATGGGGAAAATAATAAGAGAACTGGAATTAAAAGTAGATCTTGAATATGTGACTAAATTGCTTTGACCTCATGATAAAACTTCAAGGCATGATGATTTGCTTCTTATGGATGAGCAAAGAAGGTGGTTTCTTGAGAGATCTATGCTGGTGAAGATGCTGTGAACATTGTTGAAATGGCATCAAGGTATTTAGGATATTATGCGAACTTGTTAACAAAACAGCAGAATTTGAGAAGACTGGCTCCAGTTTTGAAGAAAGTTCTATTGTGGGTAAAATGCTATCAAATATCATTGTTGCATGCTACAGACAAATCTTTTGTAAAAGGAAGAGTGAACTGATGTGGCAAGCTTCACTGTTGTCTTATTTTAAGAAATTGCCACAACCATCCCAACCTTCAGCAACCACCACCCTGAGCAGTCAGCATCCATTAACATCGAGGCAAGACCCTCCACCAGCAGAGAGATTACAACTCAGTGAAGGCTCAGATGATGATCAGCATTTTTTAGCAATAATGTATTTTTACTTAATATATGCACATTTGTTAGATATGGTGCTACTGTACACTTAATAAACTACAGTATAGCTTAAAGTAACTTTAATATGCACTGGGAAAGCAAAAAAAAATCCATGTAACTCACCTTACTGGTATACTCACTTTATTACAGTAGTCGGGAACTAAATCTGCAATAACTCTGAGGTATGCCTATGTGTAAACGTGTGTGAGTGTGAGTGTGTGTGTGTGTACCTCCACAATTTTCAGTTTGCAGGTAGTATTCAGAATGATTGTTCTAAACTGTATATGGTCAGTCAGTAAATACTGTTTTGTTTTCGGTTTTTGTGTGTGTGTGTGTGTGGTTTGTTTTTGTTTTTTTTTTTTGAGATGGAGTTTCGCTCTTGTTACCCAGGCTGGAGTGCAATGGCGTGATCTCAGCTCACCTCCGCCTCCTGGGTTCAGGCAATTCTCCTGCCTCAGCCTCCTGAGTAGCTGGGATTACAGGCACGTGCCACCATGCCCAGCTAATTTTTTGTATTTTTAGTAGAGACGGGGTTTCACCATGTTGACCAGGATGGTCTCGATTTCTTGACCTCGTGATCCACCCGCCTCGGCCTCACAAAGTGCTGGGATTACAGGCATGAGCCACCGCGGCCGGCCAATACTGTATCTTATCTATCCATAGCCCACACACCGTGGCTTCTAGGTAAGTGTCTGCTTGAAATTAAAAAGTTTACCTTAAAAAAGAAATGAATTATACAGTCAATTGAATATTTGGATAAATGAAGCACATTTATGGTATTTGTGGTCAGTGCTATAACAGAGATTTCTTCAAGGGTCTGTGAACCTCAAAGAAAGGATACCAAAATCTCACTAGGCATTACAGTTGTCCTATTATGTAGCTCATTTCCTAGTAGGCATGTTTCCTACTTTTACATTAAGAATCTACTCAGGACAAGGAGATGCCAGGATACTTAAAAAATATAAGAGTTATGGCTATGAGGCTTCCTCTCTTCCAAAAAGTCACTTTGGGAAGAGTTTGGCTAAGTCAATAGTGCACTCTCATTCAAAATATTTTAAAATGTACTATTTGGGATCAAAGTCACCAATAAATGCGTAAATGATATTAACAGAGATTCACCTTCAAGTGTGTCTTAATATAGCACTTAAAAATCCCAGACCACACTCAGAAAATCCTGTGTGTCTCCAAATTCTAAATTCCAGGATTAATTTGCTGTTTTCCTGATAGCATCTACACTCAGTTATTTTTATAGAGACAGTCCTTATGATATAAAGCAAAATGGCAAAGAAAGAATCACTAGACAGTTTTAATTTTTATTACATTATTGTGAAATAGTGTAATAAATAGGCTTAATACAAAATGTATATGATTTGAATGAGGCACTTCCACCCATTGGCCTACTTTTCATGCACTTATGTATTTTTTAAAATTTTAAATAATGAGTTATTTCAAAGATACAGAAAATCACAGGAAATTACATCATGGCCATTTGTACATTCAGTACCAAAATGAAAAAGATATTTATATCTTATCAAATGGCTTCAGGTCTTCTTTTTGTTTTAAAAGAAAGACATTTTTTTCAGATTCAGCAAAATACCTGCCTCTGGATCTCTTCCCTTCATCTCTCCCTAGAGACAACTAGTCTTCTATGGGTGAATAGGTATTATTCATTGTTTTATACTCTTACTATAGTTTATGTATTTATAAATATTGGACATATATCACACATGACAATATAGTGTGTTTATGAACATATACTCTGTGTTCCAGACTCCAAAACACTATCAAAATTCACAGCATATCCAAATTCCAAATCATGTTTCCATTGGTTCATAAAGATGCAGGTCATACATTTTAATGGCAGTAGAGTACTCCAAGACATAACCTAATAGCTTATTAGTTTTACTGTGTACCAGTGAGATGGTTTCCTTTTTATTCTTTTACTCTTACCAACATTTTTTCAGCGATACTGTGATTTTTCCAAGTATCTGCAGTAAATGTCATGGATGAAACATTATCTTATGTGGGTATTAATTGACACTTTTTGTTCTTGTTCAAAGTTCTAGCTTATTGTCTTTGTTATAGTTGATTTAACATATACATTTATAAATATCCATAATATGTATTATGAATAAATTAATTTACATGCACACCTACATATGTGAGTATGTTTGGACTCTATTTCCTTCTATTTTGTGCTCCTTATTTACCATGATTTCTCATTGCTTCAGTTTTACCTCAATTTCCTCTTTCCATTGTATGTGTATATATATATTATATATATGTAACTACATGTACCTATATACCTACATATATTATATATATACACATATACATACACACACACACACACACACACACACACACACACACACATATATTTGCTTTTTCTGTTTTGTAGTGTGCATGCTTAACAAAATCTAAAAATGATCACATCATTGCCCACTTTCTTAATGAAGCACATACCCCTGGGTGCTTCAAGTCTGATCAGCCTCCTTCCAGCTTTCTTGTGATGATTTCTAATACTATAATTTCACTTTATTTTATAATTTTACTTTTTATTAAAATTGATACATTAACCATTTGTTTACTAATTTACTTGCTCATCATTTTTTTTTGTATGCTACTTCATCCACTGATTCTTTTTCAGAGCTATTCTTTACGAAGTGCACTCGTTTAGTAATTCATTCTGTAGAAGTCTGTGAATGGTAAGTCTCTCTAACTTTATTTTTCTGAAAGTATGTCTTATTTTATTTCACTCTGTTCTAATCCCATGTTCCTGTTTGTTGCACTATATTCCGATTTCAAGGCTGCAATATCCTCTTTTTTCTCTTTGAGAGCACTCATAATGGTTTCTTTTCCTTTTGTCCCCCTCTCCCCTCCATATAGTCCCTGTTTCCTCAAGTTACCTGATTCTTCTTACTTTAATACCTTTGTTTCCAGGTTGAGGATCTTCTTAATGTCTGGTAAATCTTCATTGTCTTCTCACAGTTGGAGAAGAACATTTGGAGAACACAAACGGGGAGAACTATAAAACTGTTAAGAATCACTGATGGGCAAGGACATGGTGTTTGCTCCACCATCACAGAGGGTGACTGGGAATCAGTCCTGCCATCACCGCATACTATCTTCAGCTCTTCCCTCTTGGATATTGTGGTATAGGAGAAAGCCTCCCAATCTTCTGCCTGGGTGAGGACATGGCCTCCAAGGTTCCAGAAGCCAGATTGGGAAAGGGGGACACGGGACTTAGGTGGAACATTCTTTATGTACATTTTCCTGTTCATCCCATGACTGTGCCTTGATTCACCCATTTCAGGGATGATTCCTTTCACAACGCTTAGAGAAAAAACTTCCAGACTTCTTCTAGGGTGGGGATGGCTTAGTGGCCTAAAGTCTTGGAGTAAAAGAAGGCATCTAAATTCTCAAACAGATTCTACCAAATCTTAAGAATTCATCTACATATTTAAAATGTTTATCAGCATTTTTGTTAAATAGTATTTGACTTTGTAAATGGTTGTTTTAGGTGAATTTCATGGTGAACTGGTTATATACATGCTAGCTCTGGGCCACGGGCTCTTCCTCACACTATTTCTACTTATTAGGCATTACTGTCCACATTTCCCAGATGAGAAAACTGAGACACAGAGGAGAGAAATGACTCTCTGAATAATATTTAACAGAGCTCAACAGAGCTAGGATTTAAAACCAATGTTTGCCCATCTCCAAAGCCCATTTGCAGTAGCCCAACAATCTCCATGAACATCAATAAGCTCTATGGAAAAGGGCCAGCTCCCTAAAGGAGTGCAAAGCTGTGTCGTGCATATACACTTGTCAGTGCCTGCTTAGGTGCAGATCCCTAAGTGTGGGTGGAAAGTGTTTAAGACATGGGACTTTTATGATACTTGGTTCAAACAGTGCCACTTTTCACTGATTTTTCTTCTTTCTCCCTGCTCATTCAACAGCGTCTAATAAACACCTTATTTCCCTTCTCACTGACTTTCTATTTATTCAGTATTTTCTGCCTAAGATACCTATTGTGTTCAGGCGATCAATGTCACAGCATGCACACTGCTTTGTAACACTAGAGACTTTGAACAATAAATTTGCTTTGAAGTAAAAAAGTAGTGGGGATGAGAAGGATGGGAAGGCTATACAGAGACATCACAGAGAATGAATGTGTGTGAATCCGTAAGTTTCCAAGAGAAGCCACAATATGTGTCATGTGGCACTTCTGTTGAATCAATGGCCACTAACAAAGTGCATCTATAAGTCTTTCAAAGATAGAAGCATCATTGTAAATATGCTCTTATTTCATGTGTCTATCATAATAGATGCAGAGTAGTCAGCTGATACATGTTACCCTTTTATTCATGATAATATTATATATTTTTTCACACTTTCAAGTGGTATGTTCTTAGGAAAGCACTTTGTTTTATTCATCAGTCATAATAAATTACTGATTCTTACTTCTCAGAGATATCCTGGTTCCCTTTCCTCCTGCTATGGAATAATCGAGGTCATGTCTTGAGCTCAGGATCTGCATTTTATACCCATCATACATTTATCAATGTGCTAGCTCAGTGAGTTGCACACAGTAGGCCCACAGCATGTACATCATTAACAATAAAGATTTTTGTCTCTTTGGAAAAAAAGAATTCACATCTAGTTACAGCTTTGTGGCTGTAAATTGCTGGCCTAGCCAACAAGGCAGAAAACAAAGTGAACAGCCAGTCCTAGAGAAATCCATATTATATGGAACCCTACCCTGGCTCAGGAAAAGGAAAGTGAGGAACGTTTATACTAGTGATCTTCTAGGACTAGTTATTTGTCATATCTCAACTAAATTTCACCTTCTTCTAGAAGCTAGCCATGGCAACTCTAACTAAAGCAGGGTCCACTTTTCTCTTCCTGCCACCTCCTAAGTTATTCTCTCTACACCTACTTAGACTGCAATAGAATGTTTAATTATTTTTAGTTGATTTATGACTGTCTTTGCTTCTAGACTATAAGCATCATAAGGTCAAGCAACAAGCCTTTTTCATATATCCCCAAAATAATTAGAGATTCAATGTTTATTTAATGAATGCATAATTAAGTGAAGTCATTCTTTCTCCTTCCTCTTGTTTCACCCAGAATTGTTAACTATTATTCAAAGTATAGAGCAACCACTCACCTTGCCACAACTTAATTTCCATGCTTAGCACAAGCTTCCCAGGCTACACACCCTGGGAATCGTGTTTCAGAGAGTTGTGGGGGCTCTCTGCAGTTGAAATGCTCTTTCCATGTAAAATCCTTCTGTGCTCTCTCTACTGCTCAGTAGCAGTTGAGAAGCAAGTCACTTGTGCAAACTCTGAAAGACTATTGATAAAAGAAAAAGAATGACATTTGCTTCTGGCAGTTTTACTCAAAGGTATGTGCCTGAAAGTCAGAGAAAGATATCATGAGCCATAGGAAATATGAGCAATCTCTGAAGAGGATGTAGGAAAAAGATATTCATAGGGTAGAAGCATTATTCCTCATGCTTGGCAAGAGAAAGCAACACAAAGACTGGAAGAAGAGTGAATGGGACTTGGCAGGTGAGGCCAGGAGAGAGACTGCAGCAAACTGACTCCCACCTCTCATGGGCTGTGACCTTGAGCCTTACAGAAGCTCTACGTGAGTTATAGTCCACTGGAAAATGGAGCTAAGGCCCAGGCTTCATTGCAAACACTTGCAGTGATGGTTTAGAAAGGGAGTTAAACAGAATGCGGTGGATAAATCCGGTCAGGTATATGTCTAGTTTGACAAGAGATAGAGAAAAATGGATAAATACAAGGGTTCTAGAAAGGATATTGGTTGGAGGAAAAGAAGAAAATTGCCCTAAATTTTGTAATATTTCAGCTGAGATTTCATGGAAATATTCACCAGAGAAATTAGCTGACTCCCAATCAGTGTTCTAATGCAGCCATTTATAGTGCTTCATGCTGCTTCATTGCCCAGGTAATTACTTTTTATCAACCTAAAATTCTCCAGTACTTTCAGCTGAAAAACTAGTCTTTATTTCCCCATGTTAGAAGTCAGTAGCAAAATGTTATTGACCCAGTTCTGCTGTCATCTTCCACTTGAGTGCAGGTGTAAGAGAGTCCTGTACATTATTTACAGTTGCTTTCATGGATGCTTTTAAAACGGTACTCTAATTCCTCTTCCATATGACAGCCCTTCAAAAATTTCAAGAAAGCTTTATTTTAGCTTCTGAATCTGTCTTCAAGAGAAGTCATATTCTCCATCCCAGTCCTTTCCATTTTCTTCACTTGGCATGAGTCTACACCCTTTACCAATTTCAGTAGTCACTCTCCCACAAGGTATAGACACTTTTAAAATTAGGAAGAGAGCCAAGATGCTGAATAGGAACAGCTCTGAAGTACGGTTCCCAGTGAGAACAATGCAGAGGGTGAGTGACCACCACATTTCCAAATGAGTTTTTACTGCCCACAGACCAGGAGATTCCTGGGCTTAAAAGCACCACGAGTTTCCAGCGTGTCAGCCGGCACTGCGGGTCTCAATGCAAAAACTTGCACAAATCCAGGCAGCTGTTTCAACAGGTGCCTGGAACGCTCTGGATTACAGAGCCACCCATTGAACTGAAAAAAAGGGGGCTGAAGCAGGGATCCAGGTGACCTGGCTCAGCTGGTCCCACCACCCAAAAGACCAGCAATCTAAAACACTTTGGATTGAGTTTAGCAGCAAGCGCAGCTGGACCCAGGACAGTCCAGCTCAGTGGGGGGAAGGGCATCAGCCATTACCGAGGCAGTCCACCACTACTGAAGCAGTCCGCCATTACCAAGGCAATCTGCCTTTACTGAGGCAGTCCACCATTATTGAGGCAGACCATTACTGAAGCAGCTCTAAAGGAAGTTTACACAGCAGCTAGGCAGAACCCACAGCAACTCAGTAATGCCTCTGCTGGCAGACTGTGGCCAGACTACCACCTTGCTGGGCAGGGCATCTATGAAAAAAGGCAGCAGCACCCACAGAACTTATAAATAAAGCCCCAACTTCCCAGGACCGAGCACCTGTGGGAAAAGGGGGTTATGAGTTCCACTGCAGCAGACTTAAATGTACCTGCACAGAAGCACTGAATGGAACAACAGAACTCCTAGATCAGCACTTGAGTTCCTATAAGGGACAGACTGTCTCTTCAAGCAGCTCCCTGAACCCTGTATATTCACCTTGTAAAGGAGAGCTCAGGCTGACATCTGGTGGGTACTCTTCTGGTACAAAAATAACAAAAGAAGAAACCGGCAGCAACCCTTACTGTTCTGCAGCCCCTGCTGGTGATCCTCAAGCAAGCAGGGTCTGGAGTGGACCTCCAGCAGTCCTAAAGCAGAGGGGCCTGACTGTTAGAAGGAAAATTAAAAAACAGAAAGAAATAACTTCAACATCAATAAAAATGACATCCACTCAGAGACCCGATCTGAAATCACCAGCTATAAAGACCACAGGTAGATAAATCCACAAAGATGGGAAGAACCAGTGCAAAAAGGATGAAAACACCAAAAACCACAATGCCTCTCATCATCCAAGGATCACAACTCCACACTAGGAAGGGAACAAAGCTGGATGGAGAATGAGTCTGCTGAGTGTGATGAATTGATAGAAACAGGCTTCAGAAGGTGGGTAATAACAAACTTCTCTGAGCAAAAAGAACATGTTCTAATCCAATGCAAAGAAACTAACAACCTTTAAAAAAAAAGTTGGATGAAATGATAACAAGAATAAACAGCTTAGAGAAAAATATAAATGACCTAATGAAGTTGAAAAACACAACAAGAGAACTTTGTGAAGCATACACAAGTTTCAATAGCCAAACTGACCAAGCAGAAGAAAGGATATCAGAGATTGAAGATCAACTCAATGAAATAAAACAAGAAGGCAAGATTAGAGAAAAAAAAGAGTGAAAAGAAATGAACAAAGCCTCCAAGAAAAATGGGATTATGTGAAAAGACCTAATCTACATTTGATAGGCATACCTGAATGTGACAGAGGGAATGAATCCAAGCTGGAAAACACTCTTCAGGATATTATCCAGGAGAACTTCCCCAACCTAGCAAGGCAGGCCAACATTCAAATCCAGAAAATACAGAGAACACCATAAAGATATTCCTTAAGAAGTGCAACCCCAAGGCACATAATCGTCAGATTCACCAGGGTTGAAATGAAGGAAAAAATGCTAAGGGCAGCCAGAGAGAAAGATCGGGTTACCCACAAATGGAAGCCCATCAGACTTACAGGAGATCTCTTGGCAGAAACCCTATAAGCCAGAAGAAAGTAGGGGCCAATATTCAACATCCTTAAAGAAAAGAACTTTCAACCTGGAATTTCATATCCAGCCAAACTAAGTTTTATAAGCAAAGGAGAAATAAAACCCTTTAAGAACAAGCAATTGCTGAGAGATTTCATCATGACCAGGCCTCCCTTTCAAGAGCTACTGAAAGAAGCACTAAACATAGAACAGAACAACCAATACCACCCACTCCAAAAATGTACTAAACGGTAAAGACCATCGATACAATGAAGAAACTGTGTCAACTAACAGGCAAAACAACCAGCTAGCATCAAAATGGCAGAACCAAATTCACACATAACAATATTAACCTTAAATGTAAATGGGCTAAGTGCCCCAATCAAAAGATACAGACTGGCAAATTGGATAAAAAGTCAAAACTCAACAGTGTGCTGTATTCAGGAAACCCATCTAACATGCAAGGACACACATAGGCTCAAAATAAAGGGATTAAGGAAGATATACTAAGAAAATGGAAAGAAAAAAAAAAAAAGCAGGAGTTGCAGTCCTAGTCTCTGATGAAATAGACTTTAAAGCAGCAAAGATCAAAAGAGACATTACATAATGGTAAAAGATCAATGTAACAAGAAAAGCTAAGGATCCTAAATATATACAGACCGAATACAGGAGCACCTGGATAAATAAAGCAAGTTCTTAATGACCTACAAAGAGACTTAGCCTTCCACACATTAATAGTGGGAGACTTTAACACACCACTGTCAATATTAGACAAATCAATGAGACAGAAAATTAACAAGGATATGCAGGACTTGAACTCAGATCTGAACCAAGCAAAGCTAATAGGCATCTACAGAACTCTCCACCCCAAATCCACAGAATATACATTCTTCTCAGGACCACATCACACCTACTCTAAAATTGACCACATAATTGGAAGTAAATCACTCCTCAGCAAATGC